CAGGAGTGCTGACAGATCCTTCGGGAGCCCGGGGCCTCGGGAACAGCTTCACAGGCGCGCTGATGGCACCCTGCAAGGGACACGCAGAGAGGTCACTGCTGCTGCCGGCCCTGCGGGAGCCCGGGGCTCAGGAGGGCGCTGCCAGCTCTGGCTGCGCTGTCCCCGCTGCCCAGAGCTGCGGCAGCAGCTGCGGAGACAAGCGCAGCCTCCGGGAGCTCGGCGCTGCCCGCAGCCCCGGCCCCTGTGGCTCTGCAGCCGCTGCAGCCCAGCTCCGTGCCGGGACAGGCGCTGACAGCGCCTGCGAGCTGCCGCCTGCTGCTGGCCCGGGGCAGCTGCGGCTCGGAGTCCGCCTGCCGAGGGCCGAGAGCCAGCAGCGCCGGGCTGCTCGCCGCTGTGCCCCGCATTGCCTGCCCCGGCGCCTTGGAGCCCGGGCACACCGAGCTCAGCCGGCACGGCCGCTCTGGCTCCCTGCCCGGGAACACGGAGCGGCTCCTGGCACAGAGGGCAGCGCCGGGAAGCCTCGGCCCCGCAGCAGGCAGGATGCGGCGCTTTCTGCCCCCGCTCGGCGCCTGCAGCGCTTTGGGCTCCGAGGCACGTTCAAGTTCACGCCGTGCCAGCCCCGAGCCGGGCACGGACACCTCCCGCCCCTCGGGGCAGCGGCCCCGAGCCCGGTGCCGCACGGCCGGGAACTGTCCCGGGCACGGAGCAGCCGCCTCCGTCCCAGCCAGAGCAGCCGCGATGAGCCAGCGCTGCCGCGGCACCGCTCCAGCCCGGCGATCCGGGCACGGAGGAGACCGCGGGCAGCCGCTGCCTCGGCCATCTCAGCGCAGGGGGGACACGGGGGCAGCCGGCACAAGGAACTCGCCAGAACCCGCCGTGCCCCTCAGCGCGGCCCCTCCGCCCGCAGCGAGCCCCGAGCTGGGGCAGCACCGACCGCGGGTCCCACCCGGGCTGGAGCCGCCGCCGCTCCGGAATGACACGAACGCGCCGCTCGCCGCCGCCGCTCCGGTCCCGGGCAGACCCCGCGGCCGCTGCCCCGCAGGACGGAGCCGATGTGCGTGTTGGCGGAGTTTTTGCCCTTTTCCATTTTATGCGTGTGGGAAACCCTCGAGGCGAAGGGGTGAAGTAATAAGTGGAGGCGACGCGAGGGCGGCGACGCTCCCGTTCCGTAAAATCCGCGCTAAGTAAAATCCCCACGCCGTAAAGCTGGTGAAGAGCCCCAGGCCCGGGGAAGCTGATTCTGGGGGTCTTAGCAGAGAATCTTGGCAGGGATTCTTGGGGAGGGCTGGGCCAGGCCAGGGGCCCGGTGCCAGCAAAAACGCTCTGTGCCTCTCCTCCTCACCCAGGACAGGCAACACATTAAATAATTTATAAATTATTAATTAAAATAAAATTAATTAATTAATTAATTAAATGTTAATTAAGGGGGATTTTCCCTTTAATTTAGCCTCCTAAAATGAGGGGAAATGCAGTTTTCCTTTTCAGTTTCCCTCAGCAAAGACCATTCTGGGGCCTTTTGGACATCTTTTCCATTCGTGAAGGTCCCCTCAAATGGAGGCTCCCCTCGCTGGCACTCTGACAATGGCTCATCAAGAGGTTCCTCTCAAGGGAAGCCCTTTCAGACCAGGCACAGCGGTGTTTGCCCTCAGCTTGAACCTGAAGATGATGAAAATGGGGCTCTTTCCCTCAATTCAAACAGGATGATAAAGGTTTTCTCCTTCCATTTAAACATGAAAATAATAGAAAACAGAGGTGCCACCAAGGGAGGCACCGAAAATGTGTTTTCCTTCAACTGAGACCCTTCAAATCACAGCTCCATGGGGATCCTCCCCAGTTCAAATACAATTACAGAAAAGCTTTTCCCCTCCATTTAAATCTCTTTTCTCCTCGTCATCCCCCCATTTTTGGGGGCACTGGGGAGGGACTGGGGGCACTTCCCCCTCCTCACTGCTCACCCCTGGGGCTGCTGCACCTTGCAGAGTGCTGAGCAGTTCCCTCCCAGTTCCCTGCCAGTGTCCCTCTTCCTGGCAAGCCCCGGGAGGGATGGGGAGAGCCCTGGGCAGGAACTGGGAGCACCATTCCTGCCCAGGGCTCCTGAGATCCCTCCCAGTGCTCCTTCTTGGTCACTCCCGCTGCTTCCACTCTCCCTCCCAGCTCCCTCCTGGCATTCCCTGTGCTCCCAGCTCCCTCCCAGTGTTCCCAGGATCTCTCCCAGTGCTCCCAGCAGCAAAGCACGGGGGCACAGCATGGTCTGCTCTGGAAGAGGCAAGAGTGGAGCTGCCAGGAGAGAAAACCCGAGTGGAAAAGCATTCCCTGCAGAGGAAGGGTCTCCCCTCTCTGAGCACAGAGGCAGCTCAGTCTCCGGTGTTGACTCCAAACCGTTCCAGCTCCGAGTCCGACTGCCCGAAATTGGGATGGCCCCACTTCCCAGAGCACTGCTCAGAGCTCACAGGCTGAGGGGGCAGTGCAGATTAAATAATTAACGCTCCTAGGCACTGCTTTAGCTCTGAGCTGCACACTGTCACACAGGAACAAAACCCTGAACGAGGATGGGTTTCTCCTGCTGGCACAAGAAGAGAAGGAGAAATCTGACAGGAACATTCTCCATCATTCTGCCCAGGCTTTGGCAAACATTCCTGCTCCTGCACTTCAGGAAATAACAAGTGCCCTATGAGAAGTGACTTTGATGTCAGTGAGCAGGTTATTATGGATTAATCTCGCACTGGAAAGCACTCTTCCCACCCTACTGCTCTCTGCATCACCCAAAGAGTTTGGAGACTGCTGCCTGGCGAGCTCCCGAGTTGTGTCTTCCTTGTCAATCTTATCTGCCCCTTGTTTAATTGTAACAACATCAATAAAAGGGAGTGAGCATTGGCCCAGGGTCTCAGGACTTGCAGATCTCTTCCAAAGAAAGGGAAAAAAGAGTGTTTGTCCCAAACCACAGAGTTTAAAAGTTCATGTTATCCACATATATTTTTAAAAGGAGAAGAGGAAGAGGAAAATATCAATCAATGTGTCAGTTTGCTCCAGCCTATTTCTGCTCTGTTATTTCTCTTCTTGCAACATATCTAAGGATACTTTAAAAAAACCGAAACAAAACAGACAAAAATAAAAACAAACAAAACCCCACCCCACAGAATTAAAGCTGAAGGAAAAGTAATCTGCCTGCAGGCTTGTGGCACTTGACTGTCAGAGTTCCAGTACTGAGCATCAGCTTTTACCTTTTTGAACACTGAACTGTAAGGAAAGCTGCTGGGCAGGGCCATGCTCCAGGCACATCTGTGGCATTTCCTCTGTCCAGCTCTCTCAGCTCAGCTCGTGTCTTTTCCTCTCCTTGCTGGGTTTGGCTCCTGCATTTCTGTAGCCATGATATTTTATGAAAAATCCTTTGCTAGGATTTTTTCCCCCTGAGGAGCCTCAGGAAAGAAATGTAAACAATAACTATCTGCTGCTGTGGAATGCAACAGGCGCTGCTGTGATTGGTGTGTGTTGGTTGTTTCTAATTAATGGCAAATCACAGTCAGCACAAGTCTGTTATTGCATTCCATTCCTGTTCTTTCTAGCCTTCTGAGGAACCCTTTTCTCTCTATTCTTTTAGTATAGCTTTAATGTATCATTTTAATAGAATATATATCGTAATATAATAAACCAGCTTTCTGAAACATGGAGTCAAGATTCTTGTCTCTCCACTCGTCCTGGGAGCATCCTGCAAAGCATTCACCACACATTTCTTGAAGGGCTGGCCCTGCACTGCTCAGAGCATGAACTGACACACAGCTTCTGGCAGGGTGGGTCTGTCCTAAATGGAACATTTCCCAAAGTAATTCCAGTGCCTCAATTTCACTTACTCAAGATGGCTTTTAAAGGAACCTGGTTTAATGCACTCCATTTCTAAACAAGGAGTGCACAACGCTCCTGCACTCCCTGCCAGGGTCGTTCTTGAAGCCTTGGAGAAATGCAGGCTTTAGAGCAGCACAGAGCTTCTAAGCACGCACAACTTAATCCAAAATGCAAATCAATAGCATGGCAGAGCCTGACATTAAAACCTAGTTTAAAACTGAATTAAAGAGCAGTTTAATTGTCAATTGACAGGATTAGAAAGGTTTCCTTAGCAGTTGTTGAGATGACCAAGTAAGGGAGAGGACAGAACCTGGAGTGGGGGAAAGAAGGGGAAACCCTTCATTTGCACAGTGGGGTTTTAGCCATCATGCTCACATCTCAATGACTTGTAGAAACCGTTTTATTCTCAAGATATTAAAATCTTCCAGGGTATTTTTCATTTCGGCACACGCCTAAGGAAGCCCTCAGCAGCAGGAGATGTGGATAACTGCACGGCTGATTTCTGGAGCAGAGGGAGCAGGGTGTGTGTGCGGGTCGGGGTGAGAAAGCTATCTCAGGAATGCCCTGGGAAAGCACCGTTGTCTGAGTCAGAAGAAATTAATTGCTTTCCCATGGTTCGAATGCTGTACTCCCACTCATTTTGTACCCCTTTGTATCTTTCAATAGTTACTCCTGTGAAAACCGGCCCCGCAGCCGGCAGGATGCGGCGCTTTCTGCCCCCGCTCGGCGCCTGCAGCGCTTTGGGCTCCGAGGCACGTTCAAGTTCACGCCGTGCCAGCCCCGAGCCGGGCACGGACACCTCCCGCCCCTCGGTGCAGCGGCCCCGAGCCCGGTGCCGCACGGCCGGGAACTGTCCCGGGCACGGAGCAGCCGCCTCCGTCCCAGCCAGAGCAGCCGCGATGAGCCAGCGCTGCCGCGGCACCGCTCCAGCCCGGCGATCCGGGCACGGAGGAGACCGCGGGCAGCCGCTGCCTCGGCCATCTCAGCGCAGGGGGGACACGGGGGCAGCCGGCACAAGGAACTCGCCAGAACCCGCCGTGCCCCTCAGCGCGGCCCCTCCGCCCGCAGCGAGCCCCGAGCTGGGGCAGCACCGACCGCGGGTCCCAC